AGCCTTCTCATACTCCTTTCCCAATTTTGAACTAATCATTTGTTCCATATCCAGTTCTAATTGTTGGTCCGCATAGTCAAAGCTATGGTTTTTCCAGTAGCGATGTATGGAAATGAGAGCTGGACCATAAAGAAGGCTGACCGCCAAAGAATTGCTGCTTTTGAATTGTGGTGCTGGAGGAGACTCTTCAGAGTCTCCTGGACTGCAAGGAGGACAAATCTATCCATTGTAAAGGAAATCAACCCTGAGTGCTCACTGGAAGGACAGATCTTAAAGCTGACGCTCCAATAATTTGGCCATCTCATGAGAAGAGAAGACTCCCTGGAAAAGACCCTGATGTTGGGAAAGTGTGAAGGCAAGAGGAGAAGGAGATGACAGAGGACGAGATGGTTGGACAGTCATCGAAGCTCCCAACATGAATTTGACTCAACTCCGGGAGGCAGCGGAAGATCAGAGGGCCTGGTGTGCTCTGGTCCATGGGGTCACGAAGAGTTGGGCACGACATAACAACAACATGCACCATTGAAGTTCTGATTTTCAAGAATAGCTGGGAAGAGCAGCCAATGCACAAAAGCCACAGAACACATGGGAAATCTGTCTACATCAGCAGTTGGTAACATCACAGTGAGTTGCTCATATTTAAGTTGAGGAAATAAGCCTGCAGCAGTATCTTCTGCTGCTACTCACTGCCTTAGAAATGTTATCCCAGTATATTAGACTTGAAAAGGAGAATAAACTTATGCAATAAATCATTCTGTGCTGTACCACTACAGATCCCATCTTTTACAGTGATTATATGGGTCTTTAGTGCAGCTTCTGTGGCTCAGTTGCATAGCAGCATACAGAATTCAGTTTACAAAATTATTGGGAAGTAACGTGTGAAAGAGTACCAAAAGAAGATGAAGTAATTCCAGAGTTGAGTTTTTTTTTCAGACCAGCTGATGTGATTTGAATTCCAGTGTTGACTTCTTGTTTTTTCAGACCAGCTGATGTGATTTGATGGATTACACTGGTGCAGAATGTTTTAAACAGCTGTAAGATTGATTGTTTCAGGTTTTTGAAGCTGTTTGGCTGTATTCTGGAGGTTTTTCTTCCTAACAGTTCGCCAGTCTTTGTGGCCAGCATCTTCAGAGGACAGGAGTTAGAACTCTGTGTTCTGGGGGTCTAACTCCTGTCCTCTGAAGGTGCCAGCCACAGAGACTGGCAAAACGTTAGGAAGAAAAACCTCCAGAACATGGCCAAACAGCCTGAAAAACTTACAACAACAACTATCGGATCCTGGCTGTGAAAGCCTTAGAGAATACATTGCTGTAAGATTCTTAGCAACATACAGTTATAAAAATGACTGTGCCAACTATATCCTGAATCCTAGATTCTACCCTAGAATCCTCTACAACAGAGGTCCCCAACCCCTGGTCTGCAGCCCGGTGCCAGTCCATGGCCTGAGCCAGACCTGGCCGTGGAGACAGACCTCCTGCTCCACCCCCCGCATGCACTCATCCCGCACAGCTGATTTGTGCATGTGCTCACGCTCCAGCATGCCTGTGTGAGCGCCACACCGCCGTTTGCGCATTTGCACAAGGATGGGAGGTGCCCTGCCTTCCCCAGCCGGTCCGCGAGGTGAAAAAGGTTGGGGACCCCTGCTCTACAATATACAGGTTCCATACTCTGATGTGGCAAATGTGTTCTAAATTGCAAACATTAAAGTTTTCTGAATTTGGCAGTATTTTGTGCTTCCTAATTCTGTAAGGTGATTTCCAACACTTTGGATTTTCAGCACTGAAACCCAGCTTTATTTTCAACATATCATTATGCAATGGAATTAAAATCCTGATTAGAATCTTCCTACTTAAGCATAAGTTCTACTGAACGTGAAGAAACTTCAAGTGACAGTATAACCAAGCGGACAGTTTGTAACTCAGTTGGATTTTTACTTTTCACAGACATAAAGCGTCAAAAGGCTGCAACTAACTTGATTATGCTACTGAAATCAGTTTTATTCTAGCTTAGAAACTCGAAGAGAGTATAATGCATTCCTATGGTCTCTTCTCTGAGAATAAGTTTCATTGAAGTCAACTACATTTCTAATGCATATGTCATTTTCTACAGAGTAAATACCAGTGAACACAATGGGTTTATCTTTCATATAATCAAAGGATGCTCTTAGTAATTTAGGACAGAGTTTCCACATGTACAGCTGTGTTAATCTGTTAGGGCAAACACAGAGGTTCCCAAAACACTTTTTCATGTATGAATACTGCTCCCTGCGGCTTGATCTTCTGATACTTCCCGGCATTGTATACAGTGGGGTCTTGACTTAAGAACCGCCCGAGTTAAGAACATTTTGACTTAAGAACTGCTCTCATAGGAAAATATTGACTTAAGTACTTAGATTTGAGTTACGAACTGAAAAAAACCCACGTGGGAGGCAGGGAAGGTGCAAAAAGTGAACTTTCAGTTAACTGTTGGCCAGTGAAAAGGGTGCCTGTCTGCTTCCTCACTCCTCCCAGCATTTAGAGAGTGGATTGGGAGACAGTCTTCGGACTGCCTGGTACTGCCTGGACTGTATTATCCCTGCCTTCCCTGAACCTTTCTTGATCTAAGAAAGAAAGAAACAAAATATCCCCCTCTAGTGGTCGAAGGCGGAATAGCAGCTCCCCATTAGTTTCTATGGACGGAAAAGAGCAGATACGGATCAAATGGTTCTGAATGCATTCCTATGGGAAATGCAGATTTGACCTGAGAACTTTTTGACTTGAGAACCGCCTTCCAATACAGATTAAGTTCTCAAGTCAAGACCCCACTGTAGTTCTAATGATCTCAACAGCAATTTCAAGTCACATGCACCCTAGGCACACTAGCTGGGTTCAGCCTCTTTAAGTGCAGTTGAAAATACTGCATGGTGCCATCAAAACAATGAAACGATTTAGACAGCAGTTCTTATGAAGCAACAATAAAAGGCGTTTTAACACACCCCAATAAAACAACTTTAGGACATGTAAAATGTAGAGTTTTGACGTTGGTCTATCATCTTTTATCAGACTTCAGAGGGGGAAAACTAATTCGAGTCCTTGGAAAAGAAAAATAATTTCCGCTAAGCACGTCTGCAGAAAGAAACAGACACGCTTGGCTTCCTTACTTAGCTGATAACTGAAGCGATGCGCTTCTAGCCAAAAGGATGTTTGCAATCAGAAACAGTTGATCTATTACATTACACTCTGGTCGAGTTTCTGGGCCAGGACAAGGCTTTCTTCAGCACGACAAAATGTCCTCGTCTACTCTACACAACTCTGAAAGGTTCCTCCCTCACGGCTGCCGGTTCTTACCGACGGACTGAGAAGAGTCCAAAGGGACTCCCTAGTGTTAAGATATTGGCGCGCGCGGGGGAGGCGGGGGAGTAACGGGGACGTTGCCTTCGCTCTGCCGGTTCCCAGGACCCAACGGATCACGAGGAGCGGAAGTTGACTCTGTGGCGAGCCTCTATGGTTTCCTCGGAGCAGAGTGTCACCCCTCTTGTCTATGGTCTTCGTGAGGCCGATGGGAGGGCGGCGCGCACCTTCCTCCCCCCCATTACCTCACGCTTGGAGAAGGGGCCGCCGGGAGAGGTGGGGGGGGAGACCCTGTACTCCTGCCTGCCTTCAGCTTTCTTGTTTAGCCGGCGGCGGCGGCGGCGGGCAGCCCGCGGTTCGTTGCCGGGTTTCGCTGAGAGGTTCGTTCCCGCAGCCTGCCTTGTTCTCCCCTCCTCTGCCCCGCTGGGTGGTCCGGTTCTTCGGCTCTCCCCCCGCCCTGGCCCATGGCTCCATGAAGCGCGGGGCAGTAGAGGCGGCGGCGGGGACGGGGACGGGGAGGAGGCAAGAGCAGGAGCGGCGGCGGAGGCACTGGCGGCCACGGCGGTGGTTGGGCTGAGAAAGGGGCTCGGAGAGGAAGGAGCCGTCTTCGCGCCGGAGGAAGGAGAAGGTGCGGATCCTCACGTCATCTTTGGGCAGCCCGTGTATGTGCAGCGGGATTCCCCTCCACCATCACTTTCCCCGGACTCACCTTAGCTTAAGTCTCTTTCCTCGCCCCGGGGCTCCTCGGTTGGGCCCCCTTTTCCCTCCCTTAGGTGTAGCCCCTTGCGCCCCCCGCCCCCCCCCCCCCCCG